ACCCATGGAACCTACACGGATGGAACTGCCTTCTCCAGTTCATTTGTCCTTGCTTGTTCAAGTTTTTACTTTCTTTTCTTTTTTTTTTTTTTAAGATTTTATTTATTTATTTGACAGACAGAGATCACAAGTAGGCAGAGAAGCAGGCAGAGAGAGAGGAGGAAGCAGGCTCCCCGCTGAGCAGAGAGCCCGATGCAGGGCTCGATCCCAGGACCCTGGGATCATGACCTGAGCTGAAGGCAGAGGCTTTAACCCACTGAGCCGCCCAGGCGCCCCAAGTTTTTACTTTCTTAAAACACTCAATGACTAGAACAGCTTCTGTTTGTCAGGGCACTCATCCTGAAGATCTGTATGATTATTTACTTAGAAGTAAACTCTCAGGGATTTCTGAGCTTTTGCCTTCAAAGAATGTGTAGGGGACCTTTAAAAACTAGCCACTCATGGGATGGACAGCCGCTGCCTGTTAAAACACAGGTTCTAAGGGGCTTTCACAAAATGGAGTTCCACAAGGAACAAATCTGAAAATGGAGTCTAGGCCTTGCCTATTCAGTAAGGTGAATGACTGCAATTCTCAGCTGACTTTTGTTCTATTATAAATGGAGTAACAAAAATCTTTTAAATATTACACTGTTCATCAAAAGACTTGGAAGCCAAGAAAAAGTTCTGCTACTCACAGGCTGTCTTCTCCAACCAGATGTACTAGCTTACCCCACATTAACTGCACATTTTTATACACACAATGATGCCTACAATGCAGCCAAACTATGCAAGACTCCTCCTCTTCTTCTTCTTTTTTTTTTTTTTTTAAAGTAGGCTCCACACCCAACATGGGGCTTGAACTCACGACTCTGATATTAAGAGTCACATGCTCTACCTACTGAGCCATCCAGGTGCCCCTTTGCAAGACCCCCTCTTATAAAATTGTTAAGACTTCAGTCATAAGTCTGAGTCATTCAAGATTAAGGGTCTCTTCAAGACCAAGTAGCTTGGTTTAAATCATGAATCCAGGGACTATGCTATATACATTCAAGAAATTTTATTAACTTCAAATTAAACCATCCAAATAAGTACATTTGTTGGTTCAGAAGATTTTGGCCTAGAATAAACACAACCCAAGGTCATGGAGTTAGAAATTTCACAACAGTCAGAAACTGACCTTCCTTCCCCATATCCACATAGAGCTCTATTCATCTCCCAGGAAAGGAACCAGGTCAAAACTTAGAGCACTCCTCACCAATACTCTTATTTTATTATAGGTCACGCCAAGTTTTTTATTTTCCCTTCTTCCTACTTTCTCCTTTATTTCCAGACCTTTCCAATGGCCGACAGGTAATTCTGACCCAATGAACCAATCCCAGCAACTCTCCAGTTGGCAGAGAGGAGACGTAGCAGCACGAATAAGATTTTAGACCATCAGTTAGTTCCCCTCTGGTGCTCTTGTTATGGCAACAGCACTTTTCCATAGCTGATGAGGATATTATGCAGCAAAAGAAAGGCAGAAAGAAAGGCTAAAAGAGTTCTATTTCTGCTCATTTCCCAGAACACAACATTCCCAGAAGGAGAAAGTTCAGAACTTACGAAAGCATTAGGTCCCTTCCAGCTAACCAGAGTGTTACAAAAGTGAGGACAACTACGGTAACTTTCCCTTCCATTAAGGCTAGATGTAGCTTTTCCAAAGGAAGAACCAAATATAGTCCTCACTCCTCCACAGGCAGATAAAACATAAAATCCAAGGGCATTTTGTTTTTGTTTTTGTTTTGCCTTGAATTTACTCAACAAAAATCTTCCTCCTCCTCAACAATGAAAACAAGTAAGCACTCTCTTCTAGCAAGCTGAGAAATCCAAAGGTCAGAGCAAGTGTGTTTCCACCCACCTCTCATTTCCTAAACCATGAGAAGGCGGTTTTGAGAAACCTTCCCAAGGGATAGGCTGTAACCTCTGATCCCCAGTAAACAAAGGACTCTCAAAGGAGAAGAAATTCTAAGTTTACTATGTTGTGAATGTCCCTGCCCAGTCTGATCACTTAGGGCATTAAGCACATCAACTGTTATCCTGGAACGCTGCAACATGTGCATGACACTCCAAAAGGTTTCCAGAAGTTAAAGACAGGACAAACTAATCCCCTTCCTTCCCACTAAGTAGAGATTTCCAAAGCAAGCTTACTATCATTTTTCCAAATGTTTTCACACCTGAAATGTATGTTAGCATTGGATTCTATATTTTGTTGTTGTTGTTCTAGAACAAAAAAATCTCAGTCCCCAGCCCCCTTCAATATCTTAAGATCACTGAGCAAGGGCCGCATTTCCTACTTTTGTCTGTGGTTCTCTTTTGCGCAAAGCACTGCACTAGGCCCACAAAACTCACTTAAAATACCTAATCACATTAATTCAGGTACCTGAAGGAGAGACCAAGTAACAAACTATCTTTTCCTGGCTCAATTACACAGTGGCAGAGAGAGGAATGTAACAAGAGAGATGAACAAACCACCACAGGAGGGGAAAAATTTCCAAAGGGGGAAAAATTAAATCAGTAACTACCGTGCATCTAAACAGCACTGAATTAATCGTGATTAAATCCAAGCCCAACAGTACTGTAGCCTACAAACACATTATGTAAGTCTCCGTGTTAAAAATCCAAAGATTACAATCTGCTTTACCCATAAATATAAGTTCAATATCATAGATGAGCTAAGATGGCAACCATTTAAATCTGAAACAAAAGACTGTGTACAGAAACTATCTGGAGACAGGTTAAGTGATATTCGAGAAAGCAGTAGTGATTGTAAGTTGGAAGGAAGGGTAAATCAATCAGTATCACTGGCAGAATCTTTCCAAGCATTTCAGGAACTAATCCACACTATGAGACAGGTTTCTATCTTTAAAGCAATGCTTAAAGACTATGCCCTTATTTTAAAAGCAAGGTAGCTTGGCTGTTTGAAATACGCCCAAAAGGTACTCCTTCTGTGGCTCTTCTGGCAGGGGAATAATGATTAATGTATAGCTAAAAGTTTAGTTCCTTTCCCACATAAGTAATAGCTCAGTGCAGTTATAAACCATGATATGTTCTCAACAGCTGGTAGCGTGGGCATTTACTGGCCAGTGCCACCAAGAATTCTGCAGAAAGTTACAAACCCCTTCCTATCACCTTGGAAAACAATATCCACTTCTTAAAAGCTGTCAGTTCTGGGTGCCTGGGTGGCTCAGTGGGTTAAGCCTCTGCCTTCGGCTCAGGTCATGATCTCAGGGTCCTGGGATCGAGGTCCGCATCGGGCTCTCTGCTCAGCAGGGAGCCTACTTTCTCCTCTCTCTCTCTATGCCTGCCTCTCTGCATACTTGTGATTTCTCTGTTTCAAATAAATAAAATCTTAAAAAAAAAAAAAGCTGTCAGTTCAAGTTCAGGACAACTGTATCTGGAGCAGATACTGGTCTGCCAAAATCTTTCAACATCAGAAAGCACAATGGCGGCATACTCGGGGGCTGGCCTTGAACAGATCAGGTCCGGAGGGAGGGCTCTCCAGTGAGGCAAGCCACCTCACCAAGCCATCCCACTGTCCTGCAAAGTTAAAGCCTCTTGAAGCCCAGCTATCCAAAAATATTGGTGAACTTCTGCATGGGTCATTTTAAAGTCTTTCAAGGCAGCCACCCCTCCCCGTCCTGGACGGATTCCTCTGTAGAGTGGCCTGGACCGTTTCATCTGCAGAGCTCTCTCCTCAGTTTTTATCCCTTGTTGTTGGCAAGTCTTCCTACTCTGTGGGCCTTGCTGTTGTGCAATCAATTCAAGGATGGCTGGGCCTAAGTGCGCACCCGATTGGTTGTAGTACGAGCTGGTGAGCCCGGCCCACAGGAACGAAGCTAGCCATCTTCTTCGCCAGGGGCTGCCAGCAAAGTTCAACCCTCTAGGGAGAGGCCACCCCAACACCAAAAGAACGCAAAGTTCCCAAGTTAAAATGAAGCGCCAACCCCTTCAATAAGGTCCCACAGGATCCCTCCCCAGTCTCCTCCCTCTGGAGAACAGCCCAGTCAGCTGACACACAACCTTTGAGTTCCCTTTCCCCAGACCAACTCAACATGGTTCACCTCCACTCCAGTGTTCTTCCTTGTAAACAGTTCCTGGTCACACTTGGAAAAGCAATGCTCGGGGAAACTCTCCCTGCGCTGCCCCTTCCCCAGAATCGAGCAATCCCACCGATCCGGCTGCCCTTCTTGACAATGGCCTTCCTCATCTATCCCCAAGAGCGTCACCGCCAAAAACCTATCGTTAAAGCTGCCAGCGCTCTACTACCCCCACGTCTTCTCCCTTGGCTATTACTTGAATATTATTTTATCACTCTCTCATTCTCTCCCCCAGCCTGGGCCTGGGGACTCCCCCCGCCCCTCGTGGGGCCCCGTCCAGCAAGTAAACAATGCTGTCAAAGCAGGATAACGCTGGGCGAGGCGTCCAAACTCTGCATTCCAGCCTCCTCCTGCTGTTCTAAAAGCAGCAAAACAAGTCATCGCAGAGTCCCAGCAGCAAATTACTCTGCCCAGCTTCCTTTCTAAAAAGGCCCGGGAGAGAGCTCCAAAGTCAACCATTAATGTGCACAAATGCACGACATGCAAGAGGCAGAGGTAATGCAGAACGAGAGCAAGGCCAAGTGCAAGACGAATTTGCCCAGGAGGCGGGGGTGGGGGGTGGAGGGAGAAAACTGGGTCGAGCGCAGAAAGCTGCCACGAAACGGGAACAAGGGCTCCCCCCACCCAGCGACGGGAGAGCCACGTTCCCCGAGTGGGCGCGCGCTGAAGAGTTGCAGCCAAGAGAGAATGCGAAGTTAAGGTTCCGAAAGCAGCCTCCCAAGGGCTTTGGCGGAGCTGGGGGAGGGGGGCTCTGGCGGAGCTGCGCGGGCCGAGGCGGCCCCGCTTGGACACGCCCTGAGTTAAACGCCTGCGGTGGGAGGCAGGCGGGGACGCGGCAGAGGAAACGGGCTACAGGCTCCGGGCCGCGGCGGGGCGGCCGGCGCTCACCTCCCGGCGTGGTGGAGAAGAGCGTCCCCCCGGGCGTGGTGCAATAGTCATGAGGTAGCTGCGCGGCGTCGCTGATGGGCACGGTGCGGGTGGGGATGGCGCGGCTCTGGCTGGGCTGGTGGCTGCTGCCGGCGGACGAGGACATGGCTCTGGGCGCGGGCTCTAGGGCTTTGTCCCGCGGGCGGGCGGGCGGGCGGCGGCGGCGGCGACTGGGGGCCCGGGCTGCTGCGGCCGCTCCGGCGAGCGGAAGGGCGGGCGGGGCTGGGCGCGCTCCGCTCGCTCCTCGCTCGTTTCCTCTCGCTCCCTCGTCCCGCTCCGCTCCCGCCGCCGCCCTCTCAGCCGCCGCCGCCGCCGCCCGATCCTCCGGCCTCCGCCAGCAGCCCCAGCAGCAGCAGCAGCGGCAGCAGCGGCGACGACGACGACCGGAAGCGGGTGAAGGCGGGAGCCAGAGGGAGTTCGGGGAAGCGGGTAGGCGGAGGTGACGTCGCAGGGGGCGGGGCGAGGCCGCTAGGGGGCGGGGCGAGGCTGGGGGCGGGACCGCGGGCGGGGAGGGACTGAAGCCCCGCGGGCCCGACGCTAGTTTGGGGAGTCTATGCCAAGTGTTTCTGAGTCGGGAGAAGGTAGGCGCAGAAAACTTAGGTGGGCTTTTTCTTTCTTTTTTTTTTTTTTTTTTCTGGTTGCCGGTTAGCACCACTTTACTTTAGCCAACTTCTGTTTTCTAGCCATCCAAAAAATGTAATTTTACTTTTAATTGCTCCGTATTAAGTGTAGGTGATAAATGCTCCATGTATTAGAAAAAAAATCAGAGCTGAAAGGTTAAACCACTGTCTCCCAGTTTCCAAATTCTTCTTTCCTGAGGGGTCCACTGGTACCAGCTGTATACTCGTATATCCCTCCAGAAACAGTCCCTACATATAACATATAACATACAACATTATATGCAACATATAAACATTAAGGAAACAAAGAGATTAATAGCTACCCGTGTCATAAGGATGAGAACTGTGTTAGAAAGGAACTGAAACACAGGGTAAGGGTAAGAACCCGAGGTACCTGAAAAATCTCGATTTGGAACGCTACTGTTCCCTCTTAAGGGTTCTCAGACTTTTCAAAGTTTACATTCCTAAGAATTACTGAGGATCCCAGCTTTTCTTTGTGTGGATTATATCTATTGGTAATTACTGTGTTAGAAATTAAAACTGAGAATATTAAAAATCGTCGTTAATTTATAAAGTAATGTCATTACATGTTAACATACTTTTATTTTAAAAATTGTATTTTCCAAAACAAAAAGAAATTACTGAGAACAGTGACATTGTTTTACATCTTGGCAAGCATTTTAAAGTCTGCTTCATAGAAGACAGTTGGAGCCTCACATCTGTTTCTGCACTCGATCTGTTGTGATGTGTTATTTTGATTCAAGTATGTGAAGGAAACCCAGATTCACGCAGGTATGCAGTTGAAAAGGGAAACCCTCACAGAATCTTGGAAAGAGCCTCAGGGAACCCCTCTCCATCCCCCAGGGATTTCCAGACCACATTTTGAGAACTGCTGCTCTAGGTAGCATTGTCTCTGCCCACAACGTACCCAAAATGGAATTGGAAGGAGAATCATGGGTACCACCAACGTAAGTACCCTCATTCCCATTTTTTGAATAAGGAAATTGAGGCTAAGAGATATTGAGTGTACAGCCCAAGTAAAACAGCCACTACCTCACTACTGAGAGCACCAAACAATTACTTAGTAAAGACACAAGCAAAAGAACTTAACACAGGGAAGCAAATATTGTGATTGGTGGTCAGGTTGGGCCAGAGCATGACATGGCACTGATTTTGTGGTTTTGCATATGTCAAGACAAGCACAGGGTGCCTGGCTGGCTCAGTAGGTGGCAGAGCTTGCAACTCTAAGTTCCAGCCCCACCTTGGGTGTAGAGATTACGTAAGTAAATAAATCTTTTAAAAAGAGAGAGAGAGAGAGAGAGAGAGAGAAGGAGGCACTTTCTAGAGGAAAGAAAAGCTAAGATACTAGTTTACATCTGTGTAAAGCTTGCAAAGTGTGTGATTACAACACAACCCCTCCTTGATCTCTCTTTGATTATAGATATTGGTGTGTTCTGGGAAGAACGGGGAGATCTTTCTGGCCAGAGATTCGGTTGGAATATGAAATGAAATGAAGTAAATAAGGTTGCCACCAGGGTACAATTCTGAAATTGTAGAGGCAGAGGGTGCCTGGATGACTCAGTGGGTTAAAGCCTCTGCCTTTGGCTCGGGTCATGATCCCAGGGTCCTGGGATTGAGCCCCACATCGGGCTCTCTGCTCGATGGGGAGCCTGCTTTCCCCCACTCTCTCTGCCTGTCTCTCTGCCTACTTGTGATCCCTGTCTGTCAAATAAATAAATAAAATCTTAAAAAAAAAAAAAAGAAAGAAAGAAATTGCAGAGGCAGAGATAGGGAAGTATCTACCGATTTTAATTCATTTTGACAGGCTGCCTGGAGAACAGAAAGAAGCTCTTCCATTAACAGCTGGGTGACCCCAGGCAAGATACGTACACTCTCTGAGCCTCATCCATATAATGGAGATAAATAACACATCACCTCACTGAGTACTCCTGTGAATTAAGCATATAAAGGGTTTAACAATTGTCTCCTAGGAAGGGCGTGCTGAGGAGCGCTGGTGTCTTCTTTCCCTAGATAGAAGGTATCATAGTCACCTATTCTGGTTTCTGGTTTGAAAATAAACGAGTGTGTGCACATGTGCATGTGGTTGTGTATGTACACGTATGCATGGATTTCATCTCTAGAGTACCCTAAAAAAAACCAAAACGCTCAACTAATTTTTTCACACCCTTTCTGAAAACTTGCTCTTTTCTTGTGTAACATCTTTATTGAAATATAATAATTTACCATCAACTTTATCCTTTTAAAATATATAATTCAGGGGCGCCTGGGTGGCTCAGTCATTAAGCATCTGCCTTTGGCTCAGGTCATGATCCCAGGGTCCTAGGATTGAGCCCCTCATCCAGCCCCTTACTCCTCAGGAAGCCTGCTTCTCCCTCTCCCACTCCCCCTGCTTGTGTTCCTTCTCTTGCTGTGTCTCTCTCTGTCAAATAAATAAATAAAATCCTTTAAAAATAAATAAAATAAAACATACAATTCAGTGGTTCTTAGTAAATTCACAAAGTCATTCAACTATCATCACCACTATCTACTTTCAGAACATTTTTTCACCCTGAAAAGATACTCGGTATCCATTAGCAGTTGCTCACATTAACCTCCAACCTCCTCAGCCCTAGGCAACCACTAATCTACTTTCTGTTTATATAGGTTTCCCTATTTTGTGACTGGTTTCTTCCATTTAGCACATTTTCAAATTTCAACTATGGGTAGCACATATCAGTACTTTGTTCCTTTTAATGGCTATTACAAATTGCACTGCTATGAACATTTGTGTACAAGTGTTGTATGAGTATATGTGTTCAATTCTCTTGGTTATTTACCTAGGGATGGAATTTTAACTGTAGCCTTAACCACTTGGAGAACTTTCAGGCTGTTTTTCAGAGTGGCTGCACCATTTCACATTCTCATGAACAGTGCATACAGGTTCCAATTTCTCCACATCTCTGCCAATACTTGTTATTAGCTGTCTACCTGATTATAGCTATCCTAGTGGGTGTGAAGAGGTATCTCTTTGTGGTTTTGATTTGCATTTCCCTGATGACTAATAGTATTGAGCATCTTTTCATGTACCTATTGGTGTTCCAGAATATATCTTCTTTGGAGAAATGTCTATTCACATAATTTGCCCATTTGAAAATTGGGTTATTTGTCTTCTATTGAGTTTTAAGTGTTCTTTATAAATATTCCAAAAACTAGAACCTCATCAGATACATGACTTGCAAATAATTTCATTCATTCTCTCTTTTTGCTTTTTTGATGGTAACCTTCGAAGCACAGAAGCTTTTAATTCAATAATGTCCTATTTGTATTTTTTTCCTTTGGTTGCTTGTGCATTTGGTGTCCTATCTAAGAAACCATTCCTTAATCGAAGATCACAAAAAATTATGCCCGTGTTTCTTTCTAAGAGGTTTATAATTTTAGCTCTTTTAGGTCTTGGCTCCATTTCAAGTTAATTTTTATATATGGAGTGAGGTAGGGGTGCAGCTTCATTCTTTTGCATGTGGATAACCAGTCCGTGTGGCACCATTTGTTGAGAAAGCTACTCTTTCGCCATTGAATTGTCTTGGCAATTAACCTGACATTCTCTGGGGAAATGACATTCTTAACCTGACATTCTCTGGGGAAATGTACTCCCAGATGAGGAACTCAAGGAAGTGAGACCATCATAGGTTGGCATGAGTACTTTTAGAAGCAACTAAGCAGTAAATGTGATAGCAACTAATGTGCAGTGTCTCACCATTTTAAGTAATTGATGCTTCATATATTCCTGACAACAACCCTATAGAGTAGCCCCCATTATTATAACCTTTTTACAGACGGGGAACTGAGGCTCAAAGGAGTCGAATCCCTTACAAAACAAATTACTCCAAAACCTGTGGCTTAAAAGAATACATATTTGTGATCTCAGTCTTTGAAGGTGAGGAACGTGAAAGCCACTTTCTCTTGAGGTTGCAATGAGACTGTTTGCCAGGTCTGTACTTATCTGAAAGCTTGACTGGGGTCAGAGGATTTGCTTCCAAGTTCATTCACATGGTAGGGGATAGGAGGCCTCAGCTCTTCACTGTGTGGACCTCTCCAGAACCACTGAAGTGACATGTCCTTGTGACACGGCAGCTGGCATCTTCCTGAGTGACTGCACTGTGGGAGGGAACAAGGAATGAGTTACAGGGAATCTCCCGACCTGGCCTTGACAGTCACCTATCATGTCTTTACTTCTGCATTCTGTTCATTAGAATTGAGTCACCAAGTAAGGCCAACATTCTCTGGGGAGGGAATTAGTTTCCTCCATTTGAAGGGAGACTTATTTTAAAACCACCTCACTTGCCCAAGGTCACAAAGATTATAAGTGTTTTAAGAGGAGAAGCCCAGTGTGCAAGCACTGATAAATTCCTGCTTGTACCACACTTGTTAGCGTTGCTTTGGCTAAAGAAATCAGGTGGCCAAGCCCAGAAGCAATGGAGAAGAAGACAGGAGCCCACTCACTGGGAGACAGAATTCGCTGGGAACCACCAATGTAACAGTCTAGCACAATGCACTGCCTTTTATCTCCCTGAAATATTGGAGTCTTCTAGAGTTGTCTTTTCCAACTTGCTTTGTCTCTGTTTCCTGGGGTTTACTTTCTCTACCTGTTTTTAAGCCCCTTTTCAGGTTAGAAGCATCTCCCACATTCCCAGTGATCTTCGGC